GATTCTGCAACCTTCCCAGCAAGCAATCCAACATCTGCAATAATATCTAAAACAAACTTTCTTTGACAGAGAGTTAGTCCTTTAGAGTTTCTAGCAATTTCTAATCCTAGAAAATAACGTAGGGGTCCTAAGTCTTTAATCTTGAAAGCATCATCAAGTTTAGACTTAATTGACTTCATTTCTACTAAATCATCACCCGTTAATATTACATCATCTACATAGACTAATAAGGCTAAAAATTTAGTACCAGAATGTTTAGTGAAGAGAGTGTGATCTGCCTAAGATTGAATAGAACCATTAGCTAGTAAGAACTCAGTCAGTTTTGAGTTCCATTGTCGACTCGCCTGTTTTAGACCATAAAGAGACTTTGTTAAGCGACAAACATGTCTTTTAATATCAGAGGGAGGAGTTAAGCCTTGGGGAATTTTCATATATACTTCTTCCAGAAGATCCCCATGTAAAAAAGCATTATTAACATCTAATTGCTCAATAGCCCATCCCTTGATAGAAGCTAAAACTAACAAAGCACGAACAGTGGTCATTTTAGCGACAGGAGAAAAGGTTTCTAAGTAATCTATGCCATTAGTCTATGTATAACCTTTAGCCACTAATCGAGCCTTTAACCTTTCTACAGTTCCATCAGCTTTGTATTTAATACGGTATACCCATTTAAAACCTATGGCCTTTTTAGAAGATGGTAGAGAAGTTACCTTCCAAGTATTTGTGGCTGCTAATGCATCAAGTTCAGCTTGCATAGCTGCCACCCATCGTGGATATTTGATGGCTTCTTCATAACAGGTTGGCTCAACTTCCTTGCTCACGTTCATGACAAAACTTTTGTAACCTGCAGCTAATTTGTCATATGAAAGAACATTGGAAAAGGGGTACGTTATATTAGAGGATGTAGCCACTGTTGAATGACAAACAAAGTCCTTAAGTCTAGCAGGAGGCTTTGTTTACCTTTGTGGCCTACCAGCAGGTGCTGGAACATTTATATTGGGTATTTGCAATGGAATATGTACAGGATGAGTGACATGCAACATTCCAGAAGGAGGAACAGATGTAGGAGCAATAGAATTTTTAGGATCTATAAGGAGTTCAAAATTGGGAAGAGTTCATTCAAAATTAGGTGGATGAGAAGAATGTTTGTAGAGGAAAATATGCTCATGAAAAACAACATCCCTAGACTCAATCTGTCGATGTGTGTTTAAGTCAACAAGTTTAAACCCCTTGGTACCAAACGGATAACCTAGGAAAACACAGGGAGTTGCTCTAGGTTCAAGTTTAGGACGATTATGACTAAGAGTGCTAGCATATGCTAAACAACCGAAGACTCTAAGATAAGCCATATCTGGAGGAGTGCCCTGTAGAATTTCTAAGGGAGGCTTATTTTGTGTCAAAGGAGAAGGAATGCGATTGATGATATGAGTAGCATGAAGAACAACATGACCCCAGAAGTGAATAGGGAGTGAAGCTTGGAACAAAAGATCCCTAACAACAGTGACTATACGTTGTAATTTCCTTTCTACCCGACTGTTTTGTTGAGAAGTTTGAACACACGAAGTTTGATGTAAAATACCCTTTGAGTTATAGAAACTCGGAATATTAAATTCCTGAGCATTATCTGCTCTTATCACCTTGACTTTCATATCAAATTGATTAGAAACATATGAACATAAATTAATAACTAAATCCCTAGCTTCAGATTTATGTTTTAAGAGATAAACCCAAGCTACTCTAGTATGATCATCCACAATAGCAAAGAAATAACGATGACCATCTATAGTTAGGGGTGAACAAACACACCCTCAAACCGACTCACCCGTCCAACCCGACCCAACCCACCCGTATTTATCGCTAAAACGAAGGTTTTGGGTTGGGTGAGGGTTTTCTTTTGTACAACCCGCCTCTTTTGGGTTGGGTTTGGATTTTGGATTACACAACCCGTAGAACCCGACCCAACCCGTGTTCCAATTATTAGTATGAGTTCGAATCTAAAAAATATTTATGTAGTATATAGTCATATACTTATGAGAAAATTAAGATATTTCGCCATGTTTTTTCTCTCATGGTCTCCCTAATCTAATGCATTCTTCAACTTAAAGTTTAGACATAAATTGAATATAGTTATGATTCACGTAATCCTTTTTCTTGTATACAATTTTAATAGAATAACATATGATGGATGCATTTGTTTATAACATTTTTAGCCTATTTCAACAAATATCGTGAAAAAACAAGACATATGTTGAAGTAAATTACATTATATTAAAATTTAAACAACATTTGTGAATTTTCATACCTTTCACCTTGGTTCATTCGTTCGAAATTTTAATTAGTTATAAAATATTTTTATGATGTAGAATAATTATATATTTTATGTTGGGTTGGGTTTTTACTTAAAAATATCGCCAACCCGACCCAACACAATTAGAAACAAACCGTAGGGTTTAAAATTTTTTGGGTGGGTTTGGGTTTGATATTTCCCAAACCGTAGTGCATGGGTCGGGTGATTAAAATGACTAAACCCGAACCACCCGACCCATGTACACCCCTATCTATAGTGGGTTCCTTGTTAGGCCCCCAAACATCACAATGAATCAAATCAAAAGGAGCTTTACTGATAGAGTCACTAGAAGAAAATGGTAACCGTTTCTGTTTAGCCAGAGGACAAACAGAACAATGTATATGATCATTAACAACAATAGGTACAGAATTAGCCTGTAATCCCTTTATTCTAGGAGTAGAAGCATGTCCTAAACGATAATGCCACAAATCAAACATAGTATGCGATGTATAATATGTTGCAGATAGTAGTTGAGGGATAGCAAGACCAGGCAGAGAGTTGCCAGGTTGAAGGTAGTAAAGGCCAGAGAAATGTTCAGCTATACCAATCGTCCGCATAGCTGACAGCTCCTGGATAAAACAAGCATTATGAATAAATGTCATGGAACAATTATGTTGCTTAGTTAACTTGCTCACAGAAAGCAAGTTAAATGTGAATGATGGAATTAACAACACATTAGAAATGATGAGATTATCATTTAAATGTACTGTCCCAAAATTGAGTTACTCTTGCCTTCGAACCATTAGGTAAAGTCACAAAAGAATTATGCACAACACTGGAAGACTTAAGCATAGACAATGAGCAAGCCACATGGTCAGTAGCCTCAGTATCTACCACCCATGTTTGTTCAAGAGATCTTTTTTGGGAAGTATCTGCTACAGATAGAACTACCTTACCTGCAACCTCATCATAAGCAGCTTGAGAGGCAGAGGAGGTGGTTTGTGCTGCAGCTGCATCCTCACAGAGAGCTGAAGTAGAATGAGCAGCAGGCAGAGAGTTGGAAACCGCCATCAAGTTGATGGATCCCATATTGGTGGCCTGCTGAGGTTGAATGAGCGAGAGAAACGCCTGATACTGAGCCCGAGAAAGAGTGAAACCCTTAGCAGTATCTTCAGAGACTTCATCAGTAGACTCCCCAGCACACACAACATTAATCGCCTTGCCACGAGCCTTGTATTCAGGTGGATATCCATTCTTCTTGAAGCACTTGTCAATCGTGTGACCAGCGAGCCCACAGAAAGTACAGATAGGCCTCTTTGATCCATCTTTAGGACCTCTTCGACCTTGACCAGATGAAGAAGCACCTTGAGTTAAACCTCCTTGAACAGAAGACGAAGGAGCATAATTGCCTGCAAACGCCATAGGAGGGTGAACAGAAGGAACCAGAGAAGCTCCATGACGAGACTCGCGTTCTTGTTGAACGTCCTGAGCAAACACACGATTGTTCGGCGGCAATGGATCTAACTGGAGAATCTGTGACCTAAGCGGACCAAAAGAATCGCGAAGACCTCGAAGAAACCGAATGATCTGATCAGCTTCAACATAGCCACGAAGTCGTGTGAACGCCCCGCATCTGCACCGAGGATTGCATGTACAGCCAGGCAACGGAGGAAGCGCAAAGAACTTGTCCCAGAGAACCTTGAATCGAGTGTAATACTCCGTGACAGTGAGATTTCCTTGCTTGAAGCCATAGATCTCCTCATGCAGATCTGAGATCCTGACCAAATTCACTTGACCAAAACGCTCTTGGAGATCAAGCCACACTTCCATCGCAGAATCGAGCCAAAGAATCGACTGAGCAATCGTTGGCTCCAGAGATCGATAAATCCAGCCTAAGACCATTAGATTGGTGCGCTCGCAAGCCGGAAGCAACGGATCAGCATCGCCAGGACGCGGAGCTTCACCATTGACGAACGCGACCTTGTTCTTCGCGAGTAACGCCATCCGCATCGACCGCGCCCAAGACTGATAATTGCCACCATGGAGGAGCGTCGACACAAGCACGAGCGCCGGATTCTCGTTCTGTTTGAGGTAGTAAGGATGATTGGGATCGAGATTCGCCGGAGGAGGAATCGCCATCGCAAAGCAAAAAGAACGAAACGAAAGAAACCAAGAATGAAACCCTAGGTTTGCTATGATACCATGACAGATTTAGTAATTGCGGAAGAAAGAATGAATATTGCATAAAACGGTGAGTTGTTCTGTTACACTATACAGCCTTTATAGTGTTCACCAAATTACCACCTAGTACCTATACAAACTACTGATTACAATATCTACCCAGAAAACAACAAAAATTACATTTTGTTCTATATTCTATCAAAAACTTGTAATTTGTTAACAACTAATTAATTTTCTTGCCTGTAATGTCCCATTCGTACTTGCTATCTCATTTTATTTTTCATTATAATTACACATACGTTACTTGACCGGAATAAAGCAACGTATTGCGACAGTTGATTTGCGAAAACAAACTTTTTAGAAATACGTTTCCTCTGTTCTAACTTCTATACATATATAAGACACGTTATTTTTTAGATAAACACATGTGAATGGCAGAAAACGTGTGATTCCGGTAAACTGTCCTATGCATACGTGGATCGTGACCGTTGACACCCTCACTCGCTTAGATTCCTCTACTCTAACCACCATGGCCACGTTCGCATTCTCTCACCCAAGCGGCTATAAATTGGCCACAACACACAGCCATTGGTATCATCACCTGCCTGCCGAACTATAGTCCCAACAAACTTCTTGTACATCCCATAATTAAGCACACCAACAGAACCATCGTTTTATTGCTCGTAGCAATGGCCGCCCAACAATCACCAGCAGCAGCAGCAGCTCAAACTCTGGAAATGTTCCATCCAAGTGTGTGGGGTGACTTCTTTCTCACTAATCCCTCCCAAACCCAACAGGTACGTATATGACATGCAATCTTAATTAATCTTAACCAAGTCATTGCTAATATGCATTAACGTACGTACGTATTTATTAACCGGTTTATTTTCTTGTTACAGACTGTGAGCGGCTGGAATGTGCAAGTTTTGGCGCTGAAACAAGATGTGGAGAGGATGCTGAGAGCTACGTCGGAGAAGCCTGCTCAGAAGCTGAGTTTCATCGACGTCGTACAGAGGCTGGGCATTGGCTACCTTTTCGAAACCGAGATCGATCACCAAATCAAGCTTATTTATCATGATCACCATTCTTCTTCCCGTAGTGATGATGGCGTCGAGGGTACTGATATCTCCGCTGTTTCGCTTCGTTTTCGACTGATGCGGCAGCACGGATACCACGTCCCATCTGGTAATTAAATACGTGCAACAAATTAATAACTAGCTAAGCTAGCTAGTCTAGTACATACATACATACATATTGATATATATGCATGGGTTCATGTCGATTGACTCCTTCCTTGGGTGTCTGTTTTATTTTCTGCCAGATGTGTTCAACAAGTTCAAGGACATAGATGGCAAGTTCAAGTCCGAGCTGTCGAGTGACATGGAAGGCATCTTAAGCTTGTACGAAGCTGCCCATCTAGGCGTGCCAGGGGAGAACATACTAGACGAGGCTATCGACTTCACCACGACTTGTCTTCTCAAGTACGTTGCTGAGCATTTGGATTCCGATGAAGCTCTAGCTGAACGAGTGAGTCATGCTCTGAAGCGGCCGCTACGCAAAGGAGTGGAGAAGCAGGAGCAGCTCTTCTTCATCTCCATGTATGAACAAGACAGAAACCACGATCCCACTCTTCTCGGGCTAGCCAAGCTGTGCTTCAACGTTGTCCAGGACTTGTACCAGAAGGAGCTCAGGGCCCTTACCAAGTGAGTATAATAAACTACTTAATTAAAACCGGAGATCAGATGAGTGGATAAGATACACATCGACACTACTCCCATAGAGATAACAAAAATAACCTCCACCTCTCGTTTCCCATTCCCCTTGGTTGGCCAAACGTAACACACTCACTCAACTCAACTGGTGGCCTGGCCGACAACTTCGTACGAATGTCATTAACTCATATCATATATATTTTCGCGTATCTAGCTAGCTATTCATCACCTTGGCATCTAGCCCTTAACGTTTGTTGCCTACAACCATACCATCAGGTGGTGGGTGGAGTTGGACCTTGCGAGCAAGTTGCCTTTCGCTAGAGACAGGCTAGTGGAGGTCTACTTGTGGTCATTAGCAACCATGTGGGAACCCAAACACTCCCTCTCTCGCCACTTCCTCACCAAGGTCACCGTCCTCGTCTCCACCCTCGACGACATCTACGACGTCAAGGCCACCATCGACGAGCTCGAGCTCTTCACCGCCGCCATCTCCAGCTGGGGGAAGGCCAACGTCGATGATCAATATGATCATCTGCCGGAGTACATGGTCCATTGGATGGAAGCCATGGCCAGCGTGGTGGATGGGATTGACGAGATCGCTTCGAGAGAGGGAAGGGGATACTGCGCGGAGTATGCAAGACTAGCGGTGAGGAATCAAGCCAAGGCTTATCTGAGTGAAGCCAGGTGGCTGGCGGAGAAGGTGGTGCCGAGCGTGGACGAATACAGGCGCGTGGGGATCTACTCCTGCTGCTACCCTCTGCTTGCAGTTGCAGCGTTGTGCGGGATGGATGAGACGACTATGGCTTCCTTCGATTGGCTGCTTGACGATCCTGCCATTCTCGTCGCTTCCTCGGATATGTGCCGTCTCATGGACGATGTGGTGTCGCATGAGGTAACCTATTATATATCTGGTTGGTTTTCACTTTTCGTAAGGAAGATTGACAGGGGTCCCATAAATGGCTGCTAATTAATTAATTAATTAAGTATTGTTTCTTGTTTGCAGTTTGAGCAAGAGAGGGGGCATGTCGCGTCGTCGGTGGAGTGTTACATGAAGCAATATGGGGTGGGGAAGGTGGAGGCACGCGAGGCCATTAACAAGATGATTGAGGAGGATTGGAAGATGATCAACCAGGAACTGCTTGTGAAACAGTCGTCCAAGGACATTATTGGGTTAGAGTTTAGACCGGCGAAACAAGTTATGTCCGTGTTTCTGGGTCTCGCACGTGTGATGGATGTGTTGTACAAGGATTCTGATGGCTACACGCACGCCAACAAAGACACCAAGGACATCATCACTGCTTTGCTCGTCACTCCAATGATCATTTGAATCGTCTTATCACGAGTTTGATCTGCATATGCATGATTGATGCCTACATATATATATATTGGAGATATGTATCATCATTTATCTGATATAGTAATCTCTTTTAACATGTTTGATATGTTTCTTTCTACAATATTGTGGTCATTATATATTACTAGATCTCATAGCCTACACTCCGCGGCGGGACTTGTTTTCATATGTGAACTATATAATGATTAAATAGCTGGCTGGAGTTTCGTGTGACACAACATAGTTAATTTTTGTAAGTTCTTCAAAATCGTGCTAGGAGATTCTCCTCATAGCTCAAGTCCATAAACACTTCCATTGGCAGAGGCTTCTCCTTGGAATTTACTTAGAATACTGGAGATGTATTGACAGAACAGTATCAAGTAAAAAAGAATAATGGCAATAGCATGAACTAAATTCTGCATGGGTGCTACCTTTTAAAAAGGTACCGCCAGCGGCCTCCATAAAAGCATTGTAATCTCATCAACTCAGCTGTATTAATCCGTTGGTATTTAGCAATGACCAAAAGATACAAAAGGTGTAAAGCTTACAGCATGGAACACCCAATTAATTGGGATTGGGTACAACCGCACGGAAACATTAAAACTTGGTGTTCGACTTTGCATTTTCACTAATGACAGATTACAAAACAAAATCCTTAACACACTCTTAGATAATTGCACAACGGCAATAACCATCAAATGCTAATGAGCAAAGAGCAAACTACAGAATCCGAAAAATGAGAATGGCAGGGAAAATACTTAAGTCCCAATCAGAAGCTCGCCAACACCAGACTTGTAAGATTGCAATATCATTTCATTTGTAACTCAAAGAGAGCAGAGTTAGTGAAAAATAACATCTGTTCTATATAAGATCCGCATAAAACACCTGAAACAAACGATGTAAAAAGAAGTTGTTGTTAACTCCAAATCACCGAGGAATCTGACATTTATAGTAGAAGTAAAAGAGAACGGATCAATGACGCACACCAAGAGATTGTGAGCTAACCAAATCTTCTTGTGTCCATAATACCAGCTGGAAAAGAGCAAATTCGAATCCAGGACCATCCAAATCAATCAAAAGCAGAGATTCAAGAAAGCTAGGCGAACCCATTAAAGCTGAGATTCACATATGCCTCCTAATCACCTTGCTCAAATATAATTCCCGTTACATGGACGACTAATTCGAACCCACAACCAACCAAAGAACCATTGAAAACAGCAAACGACTCTGATGGGAAAGAGATTGACAAAATGAGGAAGCTAAGGAAACATAAGGACGAAAGGTTGAGTTCATAGGCAATGAATTGGCTCCTTGATTAATTTGCACCCTCAACGACAAGGGGAAATCCTCAACTGCTCCCAAGAAAAGAAGAAAATGAATCCATAAGATTAATGAAAGGAAGAGAAAATCGCCAAGATAACTGAGAAAACAAACTCGACAAGAGCAACGATTACCTCAAATAAGCACAGGTCAAGGGATCTGCCTCTTCTGTGAACACTCCATGTACCTTTCAATTCCATTGAGCAACCTAGAGCTCTACTCTTTTCTGTGTGGCTGATAGAAAAAAAAATAGGACAAATCTCTGAACCTTCACTTTCAATCTAGAGTGAGAAAGAAAGATGCAGGGAGACAATAAACAACCACTTGAAACCAGAACGGAACCTGTAGATTAGGGTCTTCAACTGAATCCTCTCTTTACAACTTTGGAAGGTCCGAGAACTTGATGTTGAGAGATTCATAGCATATATGCATTGCATGGGAAAAGTTCGAATCAGAAAAGTCGAAAAATAAAAATAAGAAACTGATCTGCGAGGAGATTGAGAAAAGAGAATTTCCATTAGCTGGAGATTGGCGATTGGAGAAGGCAGAGAGAGAACATAGTTCCCATGAAAAATGGATAATCTATCATATGATTATCTGCAAAAGGCAAAAACAGAATCTGCTATGTAAGGGAAGGCTTTGCCAACAATAGAACTGCAAAGAATATAGAAGAGGATTAACCTCGCCTAAATTCCAGCGACTCTTTTTGGAACTCCAAACCCCTGGTGTTGCCCACACCATCTTTAAGAACAGCAGTTTACCTCATCTTGCAAAATCTCATCTGAAAAGTAATCAAAATAAACCCATGAAAAAAAGAACAAAATCATGAACGACAGAAAGATAACAAAACCAAGATTATAACCTGTGCACCTGGCCATTCTTTAAATCCTCTTTCTCGTCCTCTCAAATCCACAACCTGATCGCTTCGAGATCGTCATCTCCCAAACTGAGATGTGAGAAACCATCGCAGATAGAAAAGTGAGAGAGAAAGATAGGGGGAAAAGTGAGTGAGAGAGAGAAAGAGGAAAGGGCATTGCATCAACTGGAACAAATTTACGGGAATGAAAAAAATAAGGAGATGCCGAGAAGACCACCACCACCTAAAACAACGTGAAAATCTCTTCTCTTTCTATCTCCTCATCCTCGTCTCAAACTTCCTCCTCTTCATCTTTCTCCTCCTCCTCCAATACAACAAGTAAACCTTGTTTGTCACCTTCACTTGGCATGACAGTAGCACTTTCCATTCGAGCTTGGAAGTTACTAGTGACTAAGTGTAATAAAAAATACAAATTGTTAGAATTCATCTAATAATATGTTATTGGAAAATGCGTAAAGGAATACTTCAAATAAATTAAATTATGAATTCTTACCACTTTCATAATCAATTTGGTCTTGATTTTCATCTTCTTTATCATCAACTTTTTCTGCTTTCTTCCCTCCTTCATACCTTTTCCAATCTTCAACACAAATCAAGGCCTCTACAATGATGGGGCTCAACGTAGACCTAAACGAGCAGAGCACTCGACCTCCACAACTGAAAGCGGCCTCTGAGGTAACAGAGGAGACTGGAAGAGCTAGGATATCCTTAACCATCTAGGAAAGAATAAGATATCTAACGTCGTTCTTACTCCATCACAACAAGATGTCAAACTTCGTATCATTATCATCCTCTTTAATAGCATCATTAGCATCTCTTAAGTAGATGTCTAGCTCAAAAAAACCTCGAATCCCCATCTGAAGTTGCTCATTTCTCATCTTCTTGAATTCAGCATCAAATGTCCCTCCATAAGATGCAGATCTAGTATCATCATCAACACTAGGAGTGGTCTGAACAGTAGGCTTGGAGGGTTGAGGTGCATACTTCAATCTGTAAACCTCAATCTCTGCAGTCACATCTTTCACCAAATCGTCTCCTTCCTTCTTCCCATACATCTTACCCCACATCCAAGACACCATTTTATGCTTAGGATCTACCACACAAGCCATGTAAACCAACCTATTTATCCTTAGGTTCTCCGCCTCATCATCATCATTCTCAAACCAATACTTTCGTACCTTTGCCTCTATTCTTTCTGTCATCCGTTGTATCTCTACATCTATGTCTTTCTTAAAAAGTTCTATCACTTCATAGATGTCAGCAATAGCCTTGAAGAAATTATGAGCAGTCACATAAGATGTTCCTAATACATCAAAAAATAACAACAAATTATTCTCATATTACAAACTAATAAAAGTAAAAACCATGAATTTGAATAGGTGGAGTTCTGTTCACATACCTGATACCCGAAAGGTGAGCTCATAAAAGAACTTCAAATACTTCATTAGGCGCCGAATACTGCTCCAATCTTCCTTAGTTGGAGGACCTCTCTTTGAGTCCACATAATCCCAAAATGCAGAATCATTGGGGCTCAAATGCAAGAAGTTAAAAACAAGCTCAAACCTTTCTGCAGATTCCAAAATCAAATAAGTTTAGTTCCACCTAGTTGGAACATCCAAAGATACAAGTCTTCTTCCATCCATTTGTAGATAGTCAATGGTAGATTTGAACTTTGCACTTCTACCTGGTGATGACTTCACCCATTTCACACAATCTCGAACCCTTTCTACAACAACTCCAACCTCCTTCAACCCATCTGACACAGCAAAATTGATTATATGTGCCACACATCGAAATTGCAAATACTTCACCAAGCAAATGTGTCCCCCACTCTTTCATCGTTGTTCTCATACACTCTAAAGAACATCATTAGAAGAAGCATTATCCATGGTAATGGAGAACAAATGTTGTGCTTTCCAATCTTGTAGACATTCTGCCAATTTTCTGCAATATCCTTCCCTGTGTGACTAGTGATGGGAACAAAGCTAATGATCATCTTCTGCAGCTTCCAGTCACTCCCAATAAAATGAGCAGTTGCACACATGAAATTTTGGCTGTTACCAGAAGTCCATGTATTTGTGGTGATAGAAATTCTTCCTTTGCACTTGGATTTGAAGAACTCAGATAGCAACTCTTTTTTCTCCAAAAAGATTATATAAAAATCTTGTCTTATTGTCTGTCTTCCAGATATCACAAACAATGGTTGGGTTACCGCCATGAATCTCTTAAACCCTTCATGCTCAACAAAGCGAAATGGCAGCTCATCCAATATGATCATTACATCTAATGCAGTTCTAGATTTATGTTGATCAAACTTCCATGGAGTAAGAGAGCCTACCTCACCATCCCCAAGCTCATAATTCAATAGTGATTGGCCACTGGCTTCCTTCCTCTTTCTCTCGCATGCCAAGTGATGGTTCTTCAAACCAGTAGTCCCGTTATTGATCGAGTGAGCATTGATCAAAGTTACACACTGTTTGCATTTGCCATATGGGTAGTCATCCACCAGAACCTCATCATAAGGATTCCACCACGGGGATCTCTTCTTCCTTCCCGCTCCCTTCACATTTTTCTTTGGCTCACCCACTCCATCTGCTCCTCTTCCCATATCAGTGATCTGTATAGGCGTAGGCGTAGCAGCTGCAGGTGTTGCAGTAGCAGGTGTAGATTCAATGCTAGTGGTAGGTGTAGGTGTACTAGATGAGACTTTCCCTTGAATCCCTTCTGCAGCTCCAACACGATTACCCACTTTTTTTGGAAGTGATTCGAGGAGGAACTGAACCACTTTTTTTTTTTACCATCTCCTTTACGAGGACGAGAAGGTTGTCCTACAACAAAAAGTAAAAAATCATTAAAATGCCAACATGTCAAAAAACAAAAACCACCCAACCATAAACCATTAAACCACTATCATACATTTTTTACTTTGTTTCTCAAGTAACAAAAATACAAAACCACAAAATCCCCTTGTGCTCGGCTGTAACTTTTGTAAGTTGTATAATATAGGGTTAATACCTTAGTTTGGCCCGAACTATACACATACTTTCTACTTTGGCCCGAATTATTGAATATTGCTACTATGGCCTGAACTATGTTGCAAACTTCCTCATATGGCCTGGA